TAATTTAAACTACCTTAGCAAGGAGAATAAATGAGATAAATACTGGGAAATGTTCATAATTGTTAAATCAAGGTGGTATATGGGTTGTTTTGCTACTTATTCTCACTACTTTTATGCATGTTTAAATATTTGTCATAATAAAAAGTTTTTTAGAATGATTGTTTGGACCTACTCAGTTGCTTGTATGACCCAGTAAGGAGTTGCTCCCAGCAGTTTGAAAAGCTCTGTGCTAAGACAGAGCAGAGGAAAACAGAAGAGGAAGAGAGATGGTAAAGATAAGGTTAGGAGGGTGGGGAGAAGGTGACAGGAGATGGAGGATAAGAGAGGTAGAAGTGCACTGTGGGAGGGGGTAGGGGTCACCACAAATGCCTCAGGATAATGCCCCTCTAAAGGGCCTCTTTCTCCACATCCCACTCTATCTTCACTGTCCTTTCTGCATTGGACCCTGGGCTACTTGGCAAGGAAAATACCTTATTCACTTCTGTAAACCCCACAGTTCCTGGACCAAGCCCAGAGTTAGAAAATAGCCATCAGTCAAAGCCTCTCATCTCACAGAGGTCTTGGAACTGCCTCAACGTTGCAATGTTGCCTCCTTCCCCCAGTGCTGCCTGGTAGGATAAGCCTCAATACACCAGGAGTCCAGCTGTTCTCGTACATAAGACCATATTCTTTTCTAAGGAATCACACCATGTGCTATCTAGTGCACAGCTGACTGGATAGGTGAACCCAAAAGAGTGAAAAAGTCACCTGGGCTCACACCATCCTGACCGTCATTCCACTGTCACCTTGTGTTTCCCGAAACCAGCTGCCCAGGCACAGGGGAGCATGGGAGTACGCAAGTGCATATATTTGGAGGGGACGACACACCTGCCTCTACCTCTGTATTTTCACTCTCCTCCCCCATATACGTCCTTTCTCAAATTTAATCTATTGTCAAAATAATGTATTTTCTTTGCAGAACATATTAGCAAAGTACAGAAAACTGAAAAGAAGAGGTGGGGAAAAGGAAAATTGATCACAGTTCCATCACCCATAGGCAAAACCACTTGGAATTTTAAAGAGTATTTGATGTATTATTTTCATTAATAGACTATTTATTAGGGCAGTTTTAGGCTTCCAAAAAATTGACCAGAAAGTACTAAAAATTCCCATAAACCCACTCTCTCAAAACAGTTTCTCATATTATTAACATCCTTTATTTGTGTGGCATGTGTGTTACAATTGATGAACCAGTATGGATACATTATTAACCAAAGTCGATACATTAAGTTTCCCTCTTTGTGTTGTACTATTCTATGGGTTTTTTACTAATGCATAATGTCATGTATGTATCCACAATGACAGTTATCACACAGAATAGTTTCATTGCCTTAAAAATCTTCTATGCTCCACCGATTCATCCTCCCTTCCCCTCAAATTTGGAGCAACCACTAATCTTTTTACTGTCTCCATAGTTTCATCTTTTCCAGAATGTCATATAGTTGGAATCATACAGTATGTAGCCATCTCAGACTGGCTGCCCTCACTTAGCAATATGTATTTAAGTTCCTTCTGTGTCTTTTTATGGCTTGTTAACTTGTTTCTTTTTATCACTGAATAATATTCTTTATATTCTGTTGTGTAGAGGCATCTGTTTATCCATTCACCTACTGAAGGACATCTAGGTTGTTTTCAGTTAGGGGCAATTATGAATAAAACTGCTATAAACATTGTGCACAGGTTTTTATGTGGGCCTAAATTTTTAACTCATTTGGGTAAATACCTATGAATGCAATTGCTCAATGGTGTGGTAAGACTATGTTTACCTTTGAAAGAAACTACAAACTGTCTTGTAAAACCATGTACATACCCACCAACAGTGAATGAGAGTTCTTGTTGGTCCACATCCTAACCAGAATTTGGTGTTGTCAGCGTTTTGGATTTTGGCCATTCTAATAGATATTAGTGTTATCTCATAGCAGTTTAAATTTGCAACTCCTAATGATATATGATGGTAAGCAACCTTTTGTATGCTTATCTGTATATCTTCTTTGGTGAGGTATCTGCCCCCTTCTTAATTAAGTTGTTTGTTTTCTTATTGTTGACTTTTAAGAGTTCTTTGTATATTTTGGACAGAAGTCCTTTATCAAATATAGGTTTTACAGATATTTTCTCCCAGTCTGTGGCTTATCTTTTCATTCTCTTAACAATGTCTTTTGCAGAGCAGAAGTTTTTAATTTTAATGAAGAACAATTTATCGATTTTTTCTTTCATGGATCATGCATCTGGTGTTATATCTCAAAGTCGTTACTAAACCCAAGGTCACCTGGATTTTCTCTTATATTTTTTTCTAGAAGCTCTATAGCTTTGTGTTTTACATTTAGGTCTATATCCATTTTTAGACAATTTCTGTGAAAAATGTAAGGTTAGTGTCTAGATTCATTATATCGCCTATAGATGCCTAGTTTTTCCAGCACCACTTGTTGAAAAGACTATCTTTTTTTCCATTGAATTTCCATTGCTTTTTGTCAAAGATCAGTTGACTATACTTGTGTGGGATTATATCAGAGCATTTTATTCTGTTTAACTGATCTATTTGTCTATTCTTTCACTAACATCATGCTGTCTTGATTACTGGATAAGAATGTCTATGGTTGGGGCGCCTGGGTGGCTCAGTCGTTAAGCGTCTGCCTTTGGCTCAGGTCATGATCTCAGGGTCCTGGGATCGAGCCCCGTATCAGGCTCCAGGGAGCCTGCTTCTCCCTCTCCCACTCCCCCTGCTTGTGTTCCCTCTCTTGCTGTGTCTCTCTCTGTCAAATAAATAAAATCTTAAAAAAAAAAAAAAAGGATGTCTATGGTTGGGGCGGGCTGGGTGGCTCAGTCAGTTAAACATTAGGTCATGATTCTGGAGTCCTGGGATCAAGCCCTGCATTAGGCTCCCTGCTCAGCAGGGAGACTGCTTCTCCCTCTCTGCTCTTCCCCCCTGCTCATGCTTGCTTGCTCTCTCTCTCTCTCTCTCTCTCTCTCTCTCGTGTGCTTTCTCTCTGAAATAAATAAATAAAATCTTTAAAAAAAAAAAAGACTGTCTATGGTCACTGTGTATGTGTATGTATCAGATACGTGTGTTTTATTAGATTTTGTTATCAGTGTTATACTCACTTCATAAATAGAATTTGGAAGGTTTCCTTATTTCTGTGCCCAGGATAGAATCAACAGCAACCAAGTCATCTGTTCCTTAAAGTTTCTCAGTAGAATTTTCCTATGAAATAATATAGTCCTGGTGCTTTTGTGGATGGAGTTGTGGGAAAATACAGTTCTCTGGCATTTTATGGTAAACTGTCTACTTAGAATTTCTATCTTTTCCGGGATGTTTTGATAAATTATATTTTCTTGAAATTTCATCTGTTTCATCTGGGTTTTCAAATGTATTACACAGACGTGAGTAATGTGATCCCATACAATTCTATTAATTTTTTGCTTCTGTAATTATTTCCCCTTATTTTTATTTTGATTGTACTTCCTCTGTCTAGCCGTCTTTTCTATTTTTATTTTTCATATATTTATGAGTATTCCCATTTCTATATTCTAATTTATGAATTGCTTCTTTTATCCTTCTACACAACCCACCACATGGGTGTTTATAGCAGTTATATTCATAATTGCCAAAATTGGAAGCAACCAATATGCCCTTCAGTAGGTGAATGGATAAGTAAACTGTGGTACATCAAGACAATGGAATATTATTCAGCACTAGAAAGAAATGAGCTACCAAGCCATGAAAAGACATGGAGGAAACTTAAATACATATTGCTATGTGAAAGAAGTAATCTGAAAGAAGTGATTACTTAGTGAAAGCAGTAAACAGCTACTGTATGATTCCAACTATATGACATTCTGGAAAAGGCAAAACTATAGACACATTTAAAAAGATCAGTGGTTGCCAGGGGTTATGGGGAGAGAGGAATGAATAGGCAGAGCACAGAGGATTTTTAGGGCAGTAAAACTACTCTTCATGATATTACAATTGTGAACATACATCGTTAAAACTTAGTCTGAACTCATAAAATTACACCAAGAATAAACTCAAACATAAACTATAGACTTTCAGTGATAATGATGTGTCACTTTAGGTTCATCTATTGTAACAAATGTATCACTCTGGTGGGGGATGTTGATAATGGGGAAGGCTGTGCATGGGTGGGGGTTGGGGGTACATGGGAAACTTCAGTATCTTCTGCTCAATTTTGCTATGAACCTAAAACTGCTGTAAAAAAGTCTACAGACTTGCAACTAGAAAATGAATAAGTTCTGGAGATCTAATGCCCAGCATAGTGGCTACAGTTAACAACACCGTATTATATACCTCAAAGTTGCTAAGAGATTAGATCTTAAATGATCTCATTATGCGCAAAAAATAATTATGTGACTTGACAGAGATGTTAGCTGACGCTATGGTGGTAATCATATTGCAATATATAAATGTGTCAAATCAACACGTTGTACACCCTAAACAATGTGATATGTCATTTATATCTCAATTTTTTTAAATACCATTATAGAAAAAAATCAAGTCTATTTAAAAATTGTGTAATTTCGGTTTTGAGATGATTAAGGACTTTCTTAATATATGTTTTTCACGTTCTTGAAAACATAAAACTTTGTATTCTTCTTAGCCCACATCCCTTTATATTCTAAGACAGCTCCCTTCCCTTCTTCCCCTCAGAGCCTCTAAAAATTAAAGGTCATGAAGGGTTCCTAGCCCTAGAGCCCACGAGATAGAAAAGCCCACAGACCACAGGAGGACACACCTATCCGACATCGAAGGGCCTAAGGAGGCTGAGGACAGAGCCCGCACCTCCCCAGCAGGCAGACGACTTAAAGGGCGGAGGAAACCGATTGGCCAATTGTGACCACTGAAGCTCAACTCTGTTCTTTGATTGGCTTTAGCGGTGACGCCCCCCTCCCCTAATTCCTTGCTTGGATTGGTCTAGTTCTTGCTTCCGACCTGGACGGTGGCCAGAGGACAAGAGACTTCCAGACGGAATGGAGGGATGATTTGGGTAACATCTGAAACGCAGTCGCACATCAACAAGCAAACGGGCTCCCAGGACGTGGTGGCGGCCTCTGTGGACTCGGTGTTGCTGATGGCGACTGAGAGGAACCGGTGGGAGCGCCTCCCGAGCCCGCTGCTGCAGCCGAGGTAACGGTTGCGGTCCGGCTCAGGGGCGGGGGATGTTTGGCCTGCCAGCGCAGAGAGAGGTGAGGAGGGGGAGGAGGACCAGGGGAAAGAATCTGCGAGACCCGGGATTCTGCTTTCAGTCCCACCCCCGAAAGGGAGTCGTTTTACACCCAGCCCTTCCCTTTCTTTCCCCTCCCTACGTTCACCCTTCAGCCCGCCTTTTGCCTCAGTTACTCTAGTGGGGGGCGGGGAGGTGGAGGACAGTGGAGCTGGGCTTGCCATTCTCCATGCTCCCCTCGCCATAGAGTTGCCAGATTTGGCAATAGAAATACAAGAGGAGGGGGGCCTGGGTGGCTCAGTCGGTTAAGCGTCTGCCTTTCGCTCAGGTCATGATCCAGGGTCTGGGGATGGAGCCCCGCCTTGGGCTCCCTGCTCAGCGGGGAGTCAGCTCTCCCTCTCTCTCCCTCTGCCCCTCCCCCAGCGTGTGCTCTCGCTCACGCGCGCTCTCTCTCAAATAAATAAAATCGTTTTTTTAAAAAAAATACAGATGCTAGTTAAATTTAAATTTCAGATAAACAATAATTTTTTGACTATAAATATGTCCCCAATATAAAGAGAAATTTAAATATAAAACTATTTGTTATTTGTCTGAAATCGAACTGGGTGTGTTGTTTTTTATCTGGCAACCCTAGTCTAGAATAACACTTGTACACCTCCTAACCATTTACAGCCTGCTTAGGGACACAGCAGCCCCTATGTGGGGAGTGTTGTAATCCATGTTCTGATGAAACCCGAAGAGACTAGCCCAACGTTATGCAACTAGTGGGTAATGAGGCCCATTTCAGTTCTGCTGTCCTTCATCAGGAGAAGACTCCTGGGGAGTTCTTTCTTATTGTTGGAATAAATCCAGTTAACAAAAGCAAACTTACCTTTCAGAGGGCTGGAGAGTTAGTTCTGCTCTATAATATTTACTTTATGTTTTAGGGAAGAAATAACTGTATTAAACTGTCAAGGAATATAGCTCTTTGATAATGAAAGTATATTTTATAATTAATAAACAATGTCATATCATTTGGCTTTGATGTCAGCAGACAAGGTTATATTCATATGTATTGCAGGAGATCCATACATCACTATGAAGGTAGGGATTAAGGCAGTATATCCTATAGAGGCTAAGAGCTCAAATTCTGGAATGAAACACACCTGGGTTCAAAGCCTAGTTCCACCACTTTGATGGCAGTAGGCAAGTTACATAATATCTCTGGGTCTCAGTTTCCTCTTCTTTAAAATAAAGATAATAGGGGCGCCTGGGTGGCTCTGTCGTTAAGCATCTGCCTTCGGGATCCCACAGTTCTGGGATCGAGCCCCGCATCAGGCTCTCTGCTCAGCAGGAAGCCTGCTTCTCCCTCCCCCACTCCCCCTGCTTGTGTTCCCTTTCTCGCTGTGTCTCTCTCTGTCAAATAAATAAATAAAATCTTCTAAAAAAATAAAAATAAATAAAATAAAGATGACAATAATTGTATCCACTTCATAGGATTGTCAAGTGCCTGGGACATCAAAATTAATTTTAATTTTAATTTTTAGCTATAAATTTTAGCTATTATTAGCTATTACATTTGACCTTTAGTAACTGAATCTTTGGCATACTAAATGATTCTATAATTAATATTTAATTTTTAAATTTTTATTTTAAGTTTTAAAAAGCCAAGCATTTAAAAATATTATGGATATCTGAGTTTCAGTGAAAAGAAATGTCCCGCTAAGCAAGGAGCCCAATGTGGGGCTTGATCCCAGAACCCTGGGATCATGACCTGAGCCGAAGGCAGACGCTTAACGAATGAGCCACCCAGGCGCCCCTCTAAAATACTTGTTTTAACCATTATTGAACAGTACATTTCTTTTCACTGAAACTCAGATATCCTGGGATCATGACCTGAGCCACCCAGGCACCCCAAGCCTTGTAGAATTTTATATTTCTTTGCATATTGTTTTATTTTCTTAGTGTTTACAGTATTAAAATAGTTTACTTGCAGCAGCACCTGGGTGACTCAGTTGGTTAAGGTCCGACTCTTGATTTCGGCTCAGGTTATATCTCGGTTGTGAGATCTAGCCCTGCAGAGGGCTCTGCTGCTGAGCGTGGAGCCTGCATAAGATTCTCTCTCCCTCTCCCTCCGGTCCTCCTCTCCCCTCCACATGCCTGCTCTCTCTAGCGCTCTCTCTCTAAAACAAAACAAAACAAAATAGTTTACTTGCAGACTATTCCCTAAAATTCCTCTTGGGAATTTTTTGCAGTTTTTCTTCAAAAACCTACAAAACCGTTCCATTACATAAGGAGGAATGTGGAATTATGAAGATTGAAGTTCTAATCTTAGCAACTACTGTTTACTACCCAAATGATTATAAACAAGTCACTTACCATATCTGATCCTTGATTATTTGTAAAATCCTAACAAAAACTTGATTCCGCACCCCCGAGGGTTATACATGCTGTCAGTTATTACTAGCTATTTGTCCACCAGAGAAAACTGCAACCATGGATGAATCCAACTATTTGTCTTCTTCCTGCATCAAGCTTCCTAGAAGAGCTGGAGAAACTTGTGCACTGAGAACACTTGATACTAAAAGAAATTCTTGGTAGTCAACTTCACCTGGGCATTCAGCACCTCATTCTTTCAATTTATGCAATTGCTGTTTCAGATTCTCTTCACTCTTTGCAAACCTCTGACATCCCTTACAAGCCATCCTCAGCAAATGATCTCAGTGTTAGGGAGGAAATAGAATACCTGAGTTCTGAGCTTCCTGCCAGCAAACATTAGTGTTTCCATCCCACTACCAATGTTGTCCTTGTCATATCATAGTTCAGTTTGGAGTCCCATGGTAGTTTAATAGAGCACAGGCTCTAAAGCATTTTTCCTAAAAATGGGATATTGTCCCATTCACTAGGGACTATGTTGTCCTTCCTCTTCCTAGATTGTGGGACTGCACATCACACTGGCTTCTTACTCCACCTGTCAGGCCACCCAGAGTTTGAGGCTGGAAGTCACACACACACAATCGTTCAGCAACACAATGATCAATTTCCCCTCTGAGGGCTTCAGCTGGAGAAATTTTCTGCTGGGAAGCTCTAGGTTTCATCCTCAAGGAGAAAGCTGGGACCAGTGCTTTCAAAATTCAGACATGACATAAGGTATAGAGTGCTTTTCTGTTTCCTCAATTATCATGTTTTTGTGAAGCCTCATTTAAACCTGCTTTTCTGTCTTCGACAGCATTTTCTACAAATGTGTTTTATTACCAAGTAGAGCTTTGCATTCATAAAGGCTAAATATAACTTAACTATTCCCCTAATGTTATAAAAATGGGTCTCACCCACACACTAGGTCTTCCTGTACCCTGTGCTGATCCCTTCCAATGTATTTTGCTCGCTCCTCCTCATGGTTCACTAGGCTGCATCCTCCATATCTGTAGCCACTTCCTTGGACACTGGGACTAGAGATAGAGCCATGGCCCCAGCGGACACTGGCTGGCTGGCTCATGGTTTCTCCTTCTAACTTACACCCTGGAGACTCAGATGCCCTTGAGTTCCCATGATTTATTGTTGAGTTATTTCCTCTTCTCTTTACCATCCTCTGATGGAAGTGTTGGTTTACCTAGAGACTTAAGCACCCCATAGAATCATGGATTCTATGGACGATGACAGGTACTCATCCTGGCTGCCTCATACATGTGTTGCAGCCCCCAATCCCACCATTTAGCATCCTCACTAAATTGTTGTCCAACTTCTTTCTAACACTTCAGGAAGCTGGAAATCCATCACCTCCTGAAAGTAGCTTAGTATAGTTTCAGTCAGCTGTCCATTAGAAAGTTCTTCCCTCTAAACAGAGCCAAAATATGTGCTTTCCCAAATGGCCCTCATAATTTTTCCCCAGGTTAAATTTGATCTTTGGAGCACAAGGGAAAAAAATCTCACCTAGTCAACCCTTTTATATTTAAAATTGTTAATTTCCAGATTCATTTAATAAATTCTGACTAAGTGCCTTTTGTGTCATCTCTCATCTTCTAGTAAATGAAAACATATCTACATATTTCTCACAAGAGATTCTTGGGCTTGAACAAACTTTTCACTTTACCTTCCTCTTTTTAAAATTAATAATTGGCATAGATACAGCTTTAGATTAAATCACTTAAATTTAGCAGAGCTGGAGCTCCTGGATAAATCAAAGGCCTCACACTCAAATGTCTGCAGGGGGCTGGCCCAGTGACATAAGTGAGTAAAAAAGTTGTAAGAAAAATAAGGAGAGGTAGAGACCCAGTGACATGCAGTGCATATGCCCATCTAAAGCAGGCGGCCACTCACTAGTTGCCACCAGAGGATAAGGCACAGGGTTACAATCTACTGATTTTTCAAGTGAAGGTGGAAATTTGGATCTGCATATGAAATTTCCTCAGAAAGCATCTAATTCAGATTTAAAACACTGCAAAACAAGACAAAGGAGCTGCCAGTTTAAGACCTCTCTTGTTTCTCTTCTATAAATTATAAATGTTAGTAGGCTTGATATTTGTATTTTGAATTTTTAATAACTTTTAATTTGAAATGTTTTTGGACATAGAAAAGTTACAAAAGTGGACAAAAAATTCCAAAATTCTTTACCCAGATTTCTTAAATGTTACTATTCATAACACATTTATTTTATTCTCTGTATATAAATACGATTGCACATATCATATACTCACATAATGTTTTTCTGAAGCATTTGGCAGTAAGTTACTGACATTATGCCTCTTTACCCCTTAATATTTCAGCATGTGTTATCTAGAAATAAGAGCATTGTCTTACATCATAACACAATTATCAAAATCAAAAAATAACAGAGATGCAATATTGTTATTCAGATTTCACCAATTGTCCAACTAATGAACGTTTTACCAAAAAAAAAAAGGAAAAAAAATGGTTTACTGGTCCAGAACCGCATACAGCATCACATGTTGGATTTAATTGTTATGTCTCTCTGGCCTCATTCATTCTGGAACAGCTCCTCAGTCTTTGTCTTCCATGATTTTAATAGGTTAGATGATGAAGTGATTTTTGGCGTTCAGGAGTGTATCCATAATAGAGATCTCTGCATGTACTAAAAATACATGAGTAGAGGATGGTGCCAATCATTGAGAATGGAGGCCAGGTTTTTTATAGAACATCCCTCCATTGTTGTTGTTGTTTTTCCAATACTTCTTCACACATAGATTCAGGCTATCCATTTGGGGAAGAACCGCACAGAAGTCATGTGTCTGTCTCAGTGCATCGTATCAGGAGGCTGGGCAGGCTGCACTGCAACCATGTCGCCCTGGAGGTGGCTCGATCCCACAGAAGAACTCTGAGATCAGTGTAGTCAATCCAGCGGTCAGCACAAGTGTATTTACATCTGTACCCTCAGTCATTGCTTAATGGCTGTCTGCCAGGGGAACGTAAATCCTTAGATACTTCAGGTTTTACAAAAGTGAAGAATAGCTTAAGATTTGGTGTAAAGAACCTTCAGAACCTTCTTTTTAATTATTGTCCATATGCAAGCATAGAGTTTTTATTTCAAATTAAACAGGAACTAGGTTTGCAGATATGGTTTGCAGGGCTCTATCTCACCAGACTGAGAAAATAAAGCTTTCTTTTCTTTAAGGTAACAGAATCCATGCCTTTTGTGGTATTGTTAAGTCTAAGTGCAATTTTGCAGCATGAAAACTGCAATGATCTGTAATTAGTTGGGACTCTTCATAGTTTGTGACATATCTGTTGCATGCTATCTGTTTTCAAAACTCACTGCTATTAGCGATGGGAGATTTTCTTAAAGCTGTAGGCTTTATGAAGATCAAGGCTGTATGTCATAGTTTCCTATTGGAAAGATTTCGGTTTTTTTAAATTTTTTATTAACATATAATGTATTATTTGTTTCAGGGGTACAGGTCTGTGATTCATCAGTGTTATATAACACCCAGTGCTCATTACAACACATACCCTCCCCAATGTCCATCACCCAGTTACCCCATCCCCCCAACCCCTTTAGTTTTAAAGTAGTGATAATCAGTGAATACATAACAGAACAATTTGCCTACTTATAGGCAAAAACAGAACTTGTTTCCCTACTTACATGTCCTGCACATAGAAGAATAATGCAGGAAATGTTTGTCTGGGTTCTTTGATTATCTAACTGGTATCTCTAGGAAACTGAGGATCCCAAGTTTGTAAAGGCACAAAAATCTAATTAAAAATGAGACACTGAAAGGGATTTTATCATGAAGCAATTTGATAATTCTGTAAGCTTAGAAGTGATTCAGTGTTAAAAGAATCACTGCTTAAAAGCTGTTTGTGGACCAGAATCTGAAACTAAATATGAGCAGTTCAGCATTTAGCTGTGTGCTTCAGAAATTGCTTGGTAGAACCTGTTTTTCTACAACATAATAATTTAAGCTTTGACTTTTAGATCCAAACAGCAATCCTGGCACTTGACTACCATATGGAAACAACTTGTTATGACTGCATTGTGGAAATGGTGTTCAAAATGAAATGCACAGCATACAAGCTGAAATAGCACTTATAGTTGTTGGTATTGCAGGGAGAGCATTCAATATGTTAAATACAAGATATCTTTGTAAGTATCACCATATTTTTCAGAGGGCATTTTTAAACTAGTGATATTTGACGTATGGGAGGGAAAATAATTAGGCTGTTTAAGCCAATTGCCATGCATGAATATCTAGACATGATACTAAGACTTTCCTTTAATAAACTTTATATTTTAGAACAGTTTTAGATTCACAGAAAAATTGAGAAGATAGTTCAGAAAATTTCCATATACCTTCACCAGTTTCCCATATTATTAACATCTTACAGTAATATGGTACATTTGTTAAAATTAATGAACCAACCAACCTTGATACAATATTATGAACTGAAGTCCAGAATTTACTCTGATTTTCTTAGTTTTTACCTAATGTCCTCTTTCTGTTCCAGGATCCCACCCAGGATACCCCATTACATTTAATTGTCATGTCTCCTTAAGCTCCTCTTGGCTGTGATAGTTTCTTAAATTTTCCCTGTTTTTGATGACCTTGACAGTTTTTAGGAGTCAGAAATTATTGGTCAGATATTTAGTAGGATGTCCTTGTATTGGAATTTGATGTTTTTCTCAAGATTAGACTGGGGTTATGGGTTTTGGGTCGGGGGGGAGACCACAAAGGTAAAGTGCCATTTTCATCTCATTATATTAAAGATTATTCTGTTGATGTTGACCTTGGTCCCCTGGCTGAGGTTGTGTTTGTTAGGTTTCTTCAGGTAAAGTTACTCTGCTCACACCCCTCTTCCATACTTTATAGTCTTTGGAAGGAAGTCTCCATGCACAACCCACACTTAAGTAAGACTTTTCTTTTAACTTTCCAAAATGGATCCAGATGCTTGTTTTGGATGAAGCAGATAAAAATGCTCAGTCCAGGGATTAAAGGTCAAATCCACAAGACCTACTAGAAAGTAAATACAAGTATTCAGGTGTGCACATGATTCATCTACAGCTGGCGGGTTGGGTTACTTGTTACAGTATAGCTGTGAAGTGCTATATTGTCCTTCCCCCTGCTGAAAGCAACTGTTTCCTACAATCTCTGTCTAGCTCAATTCTATAGTAAGACAGGGACGCTTGGTCTCAAACATTATTCCTCTGTTATTATTATGAAAACTGTTATATCTACTTAATTGATATGTCAACATAATTAGTCGTCTCTCTTTATTTTCTTTTAAGGTTGGGTTGCTTTCTGCCTTAATGTCAATCAATATGTTGGAAGTTATAAAGAAGTTCAAATTCTGATGAAGAAGAAGAATTGACCTATGAAACGGTCAATATTTTATAATATTTTTGAAAAGGGGTAATGTTTTTTTTGTTGATATACATGAAAATTATGGCCAGAATTTTTTTTTTTACCTTCTTACTTAAGCTCTATACTAAAATTGCAGAAACTAGTATCATGCCTTCATATTTGTAATAAAGCCAGCAAAGTAAACACAAGAAGAAAAATAACTATACCAGATAGTAGAAAAACTGAGATGAACCTCTTTCTTAAGTCCAGCATACTTTGTTCTAAGATTTGGGACAGTAATATCTGTATTTAGGCAGAATTAATAGGATGAATTTCTAACTGGTCCCTTCCAATGATAGGATGAGAGTTAGAAATCAAATGGTTTTTTATTCTGACTCTGTTAGGAATTATCATTTTCCTTTCTGAAATACTGGAGGGAAGAAAATTGTATGTTCCTTGTGTCAAATGACAGACCACACATGCTGTTCTTTTTCGGAACACAGCGCAAGGGTAGACTGGCTTCTGAGAAAACGCATGCCAGGAATTTCAGTATCTGATGTGGTAAGAGTAGTTCTTCCCTAGTATTGTTAGTTAAGACAGTGTTAACATCTATTTCCTTAATAAACTGATGCAGGATCTAGTTACAATGTAGCTGTAAAGTGCTGCCTTGTCTTTGCCCCCTGCTCAAAATAAAGCTGTTACCTTTCAAGCCCTGTCCGCCATGGTGCTTAGCAGCTAGGGATGCATGGTCTCAGACATGTTTATCAAGTTAAACACTGACTTGAGGGGCGCCTGGGTGGCTCAGTCATTAAGCGTCTGCCTTTGGCTCAGGTCATGATCCCAGGGTCCTGGGATCGAGCCCCGCGTCAGGCTCCCTGCTAGGCGGGGAGCCTGCTTCTCCCTCTCCCACTCCCCCTGCTTGTGTTCCCTTTCTCGCTGTGTCTCTCTCTGTCAAATAAATAAATAAAATCTTTAAAAAAAATAAAAAAATAAACACTGACTTGATGAATGACTCTTGAGATTAAGGCTTATTAATATTTTGCAGGTGGTGACAGAAAGAAAGAGACATTATCAAGAAGGAATTCAGATAAGGTATAAACCACATTTTGATTACTACCAACTTACTGGTATTTCAGTTCTTTATTTAATTGTATTTATCTACCACAGTTGGTTTTGAGGGGAAGATTTTTAGCAGTCTTGGTCAGCTCTAGCTGTGTGAGGGAATGAAGACCACACTCCACAGTGAGCTCTATGATTTATGTGTGGTTCATGACTGTTTTAAGACCTGAAAGATGTACAGCAGGTGCTTTTTGAATCAGAATTTGAATATCTACTATCATAATCTCGGGCTCATGATTTTTATAAACAACTAGTATCTATGGTTATAAACTATGAGCTGCCCACTACTTGTGAAAACTATATTCTCAGCTGACTATTTGTCATCTTCATTGAGTATTTGCTTTTATTCCGGTGAAATAAATTTATGTACTGTTGTCAAAGTGTGATTTTGTTAGCCAGACAACCTTTAAAATCAGATATATGAATGAGGAAAATAATCTTATCACCCAATAACGTGATAAGATGTATTTAAATTCTACTTGGGAAGATTCATGGTTGATCAGAACGTAGTAGAACAAATGTGAAATGTAGCCCAGACTTTGGATTTTGTACAATTGATATTCAAAGGAAAAATCAATAATCCTGTTAGATCTGGTTGCCTTAGCTTACACATGAGTCTTTTTTTTTTTTTTTTTGTCCTGTTATTCATATCTCATGCTTCCTTGATGATTCTTCTATAATTAGGATTTTGTTAGCATTTTCTGGTAGAAATTTACATTGACCCTGGCTTGGGTATAGTGGTTTTTTTACTAAATAAATTGAATTATGTCTTGCTACTAATGTAAAAAGAACTGTTTCAAGAAATACAGTAGTCAACACAAATAGGTGATGAGGCAGCATTCCGAAATGGCATTGGCCTGATTTAGGACATGGTTTCATGAGTGAAATAGCATATTGTTTGGATAAAGAGTGAGTCAGTTTTTCCATATTTGTTTTTCTCTTGTCCTGCTTATTTGATCTTTTAAATTGCTCCAGCCAAGACATTTTTGATTGGCCATATTATCTGTTTTAGTAGAGAGCTGCAGTGGTAAATATAGTGTATGAGGTGAACTGAGCAGAAAGCAGTGATCAATATGGGTTACCATAACAGATATTTGGAGCTTCCTTACACACACACACTGTAAAAAGTTTTAAGTCCTAGACCAAGTCTGTCCAATAGAACTTTCTGCGGTGATAGAAATATTCTATATCCATGCTGCCCAACAAAGAAGTGACAGGCCACCATGTGGCTATTGAAATGTGGTTAATGCAACTGAATAACTGTGTTTTCTATTTTATTTAATTTTAATTTCAATATCCACGTGTGGTTAGTGGCTATTATATTGGACAACGTAGTCCAAATAACAGCCAACATTCTAGAGTTTATATTTACAGTCGGTAGTTCCAAAAGTGTGTCAAAATGAATTATGTAATTGTTCTTTGTGTTTAGTCCCTGGTGTTTACATCTGTCCCAGGCCAACAACTGCTCTTGGATGGCCCTCTTGGGGCTTTAATTTCACTACCACAAACACAATACTGCCATCTGCTTTATAAATAATAATACTTAAGATGCCTAATAGAATCTGATTTTGCAGCCAAAGGAATCCTTTTGCACTAACTACAAAAGAAACCTTTTCTTTTTCTCTAGATATTGCAATTAGCATCTAGTTAGAAGCACTTTACATATAATCCTGGCAAATAACAGCCACTGATGCTTAACAAGTAGCTCATATTGTTAGTAGTTCCTGTCATCTTTATAAGCAATATTCTGATTAATAATTTTTTGTTCTTGTTCAGAATTGGCAGTGGAGGTTGATTTGGGAGCAAAGCTGTGGCCATAAACATTGAAGAAGACAAGCAGATTCTTCATGACATTGAGACTTTCTGCAACACCACAGTGGAGGAAATGCCAATGAATGTGGCTTGCAGCACTCGCTCTTGTGGACTAGGTGATAACAACGTGCATTGTGCTTTTTTATTTGGGAATATTTGAAGCTTGTCTCAAAGCTCATAACAGATCAGAAATACAGATTTTGATAGAATGCTACTCTTATTCATGAGCTCATATGAGGAAGGTCATTGGCTTTATCTTCTTTAGAATTAGAATACTGAAGTTGGATATGAAAGGTGGGATTGTAAAAATCATTCTTAGTCATCAAAAACTAATGATGTAATGTATGGTGGTTAACATAACAATAAAAAAAATTTAAAAAAATCATTCTTAGAAGTTTATTTCCTAGTTCTGTGAAAATTGTTTTATATTGAGTGTTCTCTGTCATCTAACACTATACTTGTGGACTGGACAATATGTGCTGCATAAAAGGAGCCAATTCTATTAAACTAGTGTATCTGCTTTTATTGTGTGGTCATTAGACTGAATAGAACAAACTTGAAAATGATTTTTTTTAAGTATTTGAATTCTTTTTGTTTGGTATTGTGTTTTTATTCAGTAAAACATTTTATTAGTGATAAGTGTGCACTGGAGCCTTTTTTTTTTTTTAAGATTTTATTTATTTATTTGAGAGAGAGAGCTCATGCTCTGGGGAGAAGCAGATTCCCCACTGAGCACAGAGCCCGACGCAGGGCTCGATCTCAGGACCCCAAGATCATGACCTGAGCTGAAGTCAGACGCTCAAGAGACTGAGCCACCCAGGTGCCCTGCACCGGAGCCTTTTGCTAAGCACCAGCAACAATCATATCCTACAGCTGAATCCCAGAAAAATTGCCATATTGCATATTGAATACTCAATACATTATAATAAAGAATATTTTTCTTTAAAGTTGTTTGGTCCTTATTCCTTAAAGAATTATACTTTTTGCCATAATTCCATATTTTCCAAGGAAGAAAATAAAACAGCATTCTGTGATAAATATTTTATTCTAGTTACAGAATTACACGCAAAGGATACAACCCATGTGGCTTTTCATAAAAAGTTGTAATAGTTCCAAGTTAGCTGCTGTTTGGCCATGGCCCAAAGAGTAGTCAATTGGTCAACTGCAGATGTTCATCAGCAACATATGTTAAGCATTGTCTGCTTCGTTGACAAAAAAGGAATATCAGAATGTAAGATTTCTCCTTCTGGTGTGGCAAACATTTCCTGGTATATACAAAGTAGCTACTTAACAGCAAGATTTTCTATGTTAATAAACTAATTAATCAGTAAAGTTCTTTTTCCCATAACAGTAACATAGAGTTGCTATTATAGGTCCTATTAGGGAAAAATTGACACTATGATCCTCATTTCTTCTTACTCACAAATTACTTATTGAGCAATCTTTATGTTGATCACAGCTCATAATTTGTCAGAAGAACCACTGATAGGCGGTGACTATTCCACCAGTTGTTTTGATTGGTATTATACAGAAAAGACTCTGGTGGTGAATTTCTAGGTGAAAACGGCCCCCATCCTTTCTCAGTCCTAGTACTGATGCTTGTCACTTTCATAAAACCACTGCTGTGACAAGTAAGGCAAGGGCTTGAATCCCTGGAAGTATCAGATCAATTAAAAGTCACATCACTGTCTTCAGTAAGTAAAGGTGCAAAAGGAAATCCTAAATAATGAGCTGCATGGGATGACATTTACCTCGATGTTCACTCCCTACGAAGACTAGAAGGAAGCGGGGCAGAACAGTGTAAAGATGGGACAAAAACAAACAAACATAACTTGCATTTGGAAGACGGATAACCACAAAATGTATTAGAAGGCCTTCCTTTCCCCTGTCTCATAATGTGGCTCTTGTTCAGAGTCCTAGTCATCGTTAGCTCCAACCAAGGACACCTTTGATGACTTCCTCGAACTCGTAGCACAAGGTACCGCTTCCTCCTCCACACCAGCTCCGTTCCCGGGCCTTACTCCCACCCTGCCCCCTCTGTACCTGGCCCTCTGCTGTCCT